ATATTATTTTGAACCATCTTTATATAGTGTCAAAAATATTTGATGTCCATGTTACATTATTTATCATTATATTATGTCAAACTATCAATATACGATGTGCATTTTTCACTATATTATGTGAAACCATAATTAGACAAGGTCAAAATACCAGTATATTATGAGACATCATCCTTATATGGAGTCAACTTAGCAATATATGATTTTAATGTGACATTATTTTATGTAGAATCGTCTTTATATAGAGTCAACTTAACAATATATGATTTAAATGTGTCCATATATGATGTGAATCTTTCATTTTACGATGTGCATCAATATTTATGAATATATTATTCTTATATATGGTCAAAACAACACTATATTATGTTGAATCGTCTTTATAGAGTCATAATAACATTAGATTACGTCGATCTGTCTTTATATGATGTCAGTTTTTCATTATATGATGTTCAATTACGAATATATTATGTGGAACCATTCTTATATAGAGTTAAAACAACACAATATTATCTTGAATCGTCTTTATATGGAGTTAACTTAACAATACATGATGTAAACATGTCCTTGTATGATGTCAATCTTTCATTTTACGATGTGCATTAATGAATATTTTATGTGGAACCATTATTATATAGAGCCACAACAATACTATATTATGTAGAATCGTCTTCATATAGAGTCAACTTAACAATTCGTCAGCAGTTTAGTACCGCCTGAGATTCCTTCAAGTCTTGAGATTTTATCACGTGTACTTCAATCGTTCCCCGCTACGAACAGAGCATAGTGAGATATAGCCCGGTAAATTTAACCCCATCGGTATAATGACAAAAGCACACGATATAAAGATGTATGCACTTCACATAAAGAAGCGGTCTGAATAATAATAGATGTAGATCGTGTAATAACCATTATATATTCATAAAACACACATCGTATTATAATCGATTCACATCGAAAAATGAAAGATTGACATTAAAATTTATATTGATAAGTTGACTCTGTATAATGATGCTACTATATAATATATTCATTAATGCACATCGTATAATAATATATTCACATAGTATAATGAAAGATTGACATAATATATTGATAAGTTGACTGTATATAATGATGCTACCACATAATACACTCATGAATGCACATAGTATATAATAATAGATTCACAGCGTTTTTATGAAAGATTGACATAATTTATTGATAAGATGACATTATATAATGATGCTAAAACATTATATATTAATAATTGCACACCATATAAGAATTGGTCGACATCATATAAAGACACAATGACATCATACATGTATATTGTTCAGTTGAAATCATATAATATGCATAGCCATACTATATTCATGAGTGCACATTGTATAAAGAAAGAGTGACACAACAACATTAATCTTTATAATTATAAGACAGTCAAGGCTTTCCATACTGTTCTCTTTTACAGCAATCCTTGAAGATGATTACAACATAAACAACGGGCATTCAACCGAAACTTTTGACCCGCGAACTGTAAAAGGCATTTCTTCATGTCAGACCTGGGTATGATTACATTGATCAGTAATGGATTTAATTACAATTACTTTCAGATTTTAAGGTCATTGATTAAGATTGATTACTCTCACTTGCCTCTGTAATCAATTAAATTACAGATATTTTAAGAGAGTAATTGATTGATAATTGATTACATTCAATGTAAAGTAGAATCCCTACTTCAAGCCACCCCCTACATATGACTGTTTTTTACAAGATTCTTTAAGTCAATGGTTACATGAACAACCACTCATCCACTTTTAAGACCACCTGATTCAGTCCAAATTCTTTGGTTTTCTCTTAATTTGACCGAACTATTGAGACCAAAGATATTAAAGTCAACACCTACATGTATCTAGATCTTAAATTTGTTGTTATGATCTGCTTAAATGCTTTGCATGACACTTAATTTCACAATGTGTGAAAAACTGTTATATTTGGCTCATAATGTATGAAATAAGGTGAGAAGGTAAATTTTAGAGTGGTTTAATGTTGCTTTCAGCAAATTTATTTTGTGAAGAATTAATTTTTTATTTGATAGTTGATTTATGTATATCATATAATAATTGATATTGAAATCTGACCAAAGAGAATTTTATGTTAAATTTCTTCAGAAAGATGTTTTCCTCTCATCCAATTTCAAAGCATGTTTTATAGTGTCCTTTATATTATATTTGTAGCTTAAGATACATGAATTTTTTTCCATAAAAAATGACTAAAACAGACCATGGTCATAAAGTATGTTAGCAATGATAAGAGTATTCACAATTAAGACCGTTTTGGTCCAGCCCAGATGATGGTCTTAAGTAAGGGCTTTTACTATATAAATGTAAAACAAAAGTTAAACTGTATGGCATCCGTTGGCTTAAAGTAGTTTAATGCGAAATCTAAAAGTAATCAATGTCAATCAAATTGTAATCATAATAACTGACTGAATTTTAGCTGTAACTGATTAATTACAATTAAATTAATCAATGTTGGGCATCATAATCAATTACATGATGATTACAGTGTAAACATGAAATAAATTAAAAAATCAATGATTAAAATTAATGATTACCCCAGGTCTGCTTCACGTTACCTAGTATTGTGACTGTGGATATCATTATTGGGAATGAAATGCTTATCAACATAATCGGGGGTTGTGCCTGCAACAGTTTTAAAGACTTGCGAGAGCGTAATTTGATGAATACTTTTTGAACAGGTAACAAATATCAAGATTTAAATTATTCATAAACAATATGAGGTCGTCGGTCCGAATTCAGTGGAAACCAATATTTTGAATTATCTGTCACTTACAGTTATTAGCATGTTGCTGAGGAGGCCATTGAATCGCAAGGTAAATTTTGATTCAGTGTAATTAGATACATTTGATTTGGATGTAAAGCTGGTTTTTTGCCTCGGTTTTACATAAATTCAGGACAACCTATCAATGGACCTTTTGCTGAAACTGAATTTAAAACCCAGATATTTTTAACAAGCCACCATTTTTCAAAAAATACATGCATGACATAAAAGATTTGTAAGGACAGTATACATACCAAATAAAGCGTTTGAAAAAAGAGTTGCTAAGACCGAGGTATGGGGAACACCATAAGAAATAATGAAGTAAGAGAAAAAAGTATTTAAACCATCAATAAGTTGTCATTCAGTAAGGTACTACTTGTATCACCGGCGCTACCAAGTTCATCTTCATTATAATTATAATATTGTCAATGTCTTTTAAAGGTCCAAAAGTTTATTCATTTGAAACTTAATAAAATCTTCTGGGAAATGAGCAAGAGAAAAACGAAATTATCACATAACGCCTAAAACAACATAATTGAAAATGTTGCAGACTTGGCTTGGTTGAAACATGAAACATTTTATTTGAGTAAACGCCTATTTCAATAACAATTCTCAATGGCGTTGTACAATGGTACATATAAAACATATAAATGGATAAAATGATAAAATCTTACTAAAATAAATGGAAAATAATTGTGAAATCAATTTAAACAATAAAAGAACATTTAGAAAGCTGACATACAAAGAACTCCTCCCTCAAAAAGCAAAACACACGCCAGTCTCCTAAGCTTTGTGTCTACATTAGTCTTCACAGCAAGAATATGCAAACTGGGCTGATCCAACTAATATAGCCACAAACGCTCGCACGCACACCCACAAGTTTAACATAAGTAAAATATTTAGAAGCTGTATGAATACTATTATTATTATTATCTAATGTAAGTTACTATCACATTTGTACTTTATCAGATCACTTTTCTATCAGAAAAAAAACTATATGAATATCCAAACTAGAATAAAGAGAAATAGTCTCTGAAGTACCATGTTTTCAGTTTACGTTTGAAAATGTCTACAGAGTCTGACTGAAGAATGCCTATTGGAAGTTTGTTCCAAAGGCGTGGTCCCACTGTACTAAATCTTCTGTCGTTGAATGTCTTTTTCTTATTGAAGGGAAAAACATAACACTTCTCCGAAGAAGCTGAAGAGCGAAGAAGTCTTGAAGGCATTTTTTTCAGTTAAAAGACTAGTCAAATAAGCAGGTGCATTTCCAATGGAACTTTTGAACATACATTGTATATGTACGGATTTTGAATGTTATTCGAGCGTTGATTTGTAACCAGTTGAGATCGTAGAGTGATTGCTTTGAACTTTCATATTTTCCACGGTTTAGAACCAGTTTTGCACACATGCTTTTGATTCTTTGTATCTTTTTAATTTCACACTGGGATATTCCATAAAGTATTGCATTACAGTAATCTGAATGAGAGATGACGAGAGACAAGACTAATATGTCGGTGGTTTCTTTTGTGAGATATTTCCTGCTGTTTTTAATTTTCAAGTAGTTGAACATTGCAGTGCGCATTTGCGTTTAACATGGTCTTTGCAATTGAGATTTTCGTCCAGATGTTCACCTAAATAACGAATATAGTTCTTTGATTCGATTTCATCACCAGCAATGTTACTTTTGTCAAGAGAGAATTTGATAACTGATGTTTGCTGCCAAACTCGATGAATTCAGTTTTTGTTGTATTCATTATTAATTTGTTTCCATTCATCCAATTGTTTGTTTCTAAAGCACAGTTTTCAAGAGTTTCTATGGAAATCTTTCCTGCATTTATGTTTGACGGGTTGAAACGTATGTTTTCCATGTGATTGTTAGCAAAGCCATGAACCGTGACTGATGGTGGTATAATGTAAAATAAATGATTTAATATAATTATGAAGAACATATTCAATGGACATTCAAAATAGTTCTTTATAAACTTATATGTAAATTTGAATAATACGCAGTAAAGAATCAAATGCTCATTCTTTTGTTTACATTTGTGAAGTGTTTTGCACACTTGCTTTGAAAAATTATCCGTTCACTCGAATTGTGAGTGATTTCTTAATGTCGACTTAAACATAAATCATATCAGACACTTAAAAATTAAATTTTAGACTGCTGTTTTAACGTTCATTCATCGCACATCTGTCACGTCATTGGGATCAATGCAAGGTTTAGGGCCATATGCCCATTCCTTTATATCTGTGATTGTTTTTGCATATTTGTTTTGATGATTCATCCTTTCACATAAGTTGCACATAGCTCTTTGATATACATACAAATACCCAGCTGAGTAATATTGACTTTTTCGCTTTAAATAGTCAGCGTATGTTTCAACACTGATGTGTTTAAGAAAGTGTACAAGATCTTGAACAGACTCGAATTCATCGGTGGATAAAAATGTTCCCTTGGGAAACATTTGTTTCGTTTCGCCAGGGCTTCCACCACGTACCAACATAATTAGATCATAATTGAAATTATCGTAAAACTTCTCTGTTATATACTGATGACAAAACGCATTTTCGAAAGCTAGATAAAACCTAAAAGTTGTATTTAACAGTTTAAAGCAGTCTTCGTCGTGTTTGTAGTGAGAACCACATGTCCACTTTTTCCCACAGTTTCCCAAGACTTCAACGTCAACATATTCCTTTAACTTATTTACATATTCCTGACGTTTAGACCTGGCATTACAATGGGAAACTATTATTAATAGAGTTTTGTTTTTCTTTTGTGAAATTGATTTGTATTCCCGTATTACTTCTGATTTGTGTTTCAGTATTTCTCCGTATGGCAAATATATGTCAGAATTATCTTTGTCATAAGTCATCGTCCAGTTGAAGGAGTAGTCTTTATTTCTATACCACCATGTCCCTGTGTCGCCGTATGAAATAGGAGATTCGTGAGCTGCGAAAATCCATATCTGGCCATTTGGACGAGTGAAGCTAACATTCTTTGGCATTCTACGACCATCAAAAATAACAGCCTGACTGATATTTGCATCAGATGTATTTACAGTCATATCACAGTTATTGTATTTGCACTTTTCAAATCCACAATGCAACGCATCTTTATGATATGTTAAATATGGGGCTGGGTTATACCATAGAATTCGAAACTTTTCCTTCCTTGTAATAATTGGTTCCATCGTTGACAACTGCACTCGATTCTTTAAGAATAAAAACGAAAGTTCCTTTAGAAATGAAATGATATATGCAAAGATGCTTTTTGGAGTTTACCGTAACCCACATGTACTTACAGACTACTTCTAAAATCATGGAAATGATAAAAAGGAAACATTTTACCTTAAATGCATAATTTTACCATGTTTTACTTGAACATTAATATTAGTACTTTTTATAACAGTGAACTTGTCATTCGCAACCGCTTCAACCGACCCGAAGAACATCATTTGTTAGTGACTTTTGTAGTCTCCATGGGAATCTACTTGTTGTATCAGAATAAAAGAATTAAATTGGTAGTTAAACCTCAAATGTTAAAAGTTAAATTTAATACACCAGTTATAATTTTATGATACAGGTGTGTCTAATGTACTTTGTTTCTTAGTTTCTATGAATGGTATGAAATCGTCCCGTCATGGGCTTTATATTCTTCCATGTTAGGAAGATATACAGCTAGCATTCGAGACATCGGCGGGTTAACTAAGGTACCTGTTCTTGCCAGGAATAATGTACATAGGGGCTTCTAAAGTCTTCCTCCATCAATAAAACAGGAATGACTTATACAGTTGTTATTCGACGTAAAGAGCAACCAAAAAAAAAACTTACCTCATTTGCATTCGGAAGTTTTAACAACCTGTTCAATGACAAGAACACACACATCGCTAACACAATGGTTAACTGTAAAATGTAAAAGAAATACTGACCTAAAGCCGATAGATAAGGATTAAAGTTATGGATATACATACAGCACTAGGTTCAAGTTTCTGTTATATGACATGATTGACGTCAGAGAGGACCTCAAACTCAAAATTTAACTTTTTACAATTTAGGATCTGATAACTTTATTATTTATAAAGAGTTTTCTCCTGTTAAAGGAATATTTTAAAGATTGATACTAATCAACTTGTTTGTGATTTCATGAGTTCATTTAAATTTACTCTCTTTTTCCGAATTAATGCCGAAAAAAATCAGCTACCTTTAAACATTTGCTCCTCTTAAATCCTTTTTTGGACGATCTTGGCTTTTAAGTGCTTCTGTGTTAATTACACTTGTCAGAATATTTTAAAACACCTTTTTAAGTGGAACGAAGACATAAACAAATAAATAAATAAATAAATAAAATAAAATAAGCATTCCACGCAGCCTACTTGACTGCACAGATAAACCTAAAATTACCTTAATATTTTGTCATTATTGCGTTGAATTTTACATTGCAAGAATATCGCACGTAAAATTCTATAAAAAAGGCTTTGAATGTATCGGTATCGTTTAGTTTTTAATATTACGTTGCAGTCTTCTTATAATTTAAGTAGCTTTATAGTTTACCTGATACTTTTTTTATTTTCAGTTATTGGTCAATCACCATTATAAAAGACAATCATTTGAAATTCATTATTCAAATATTGAGAAAAAATTATACTACATTTTGTAAACAAATACGAGCTGAATGCAAACTACGAATCAAAATGTGTACATGGAGAATTGGGTCGAATACCAATAAACAATTTTTATAATTTTGATAAATATTTCAAAAACTATAGCATGCATAATTGTCGAAGACAAATATAATTTCCTTTTGTGTTGTCCAACACACGTAAAACTGAGTAATAAATAGTTTTATTGTCTAAAGAATTACTTAAGATTTATGTAATTTAAAATATATTTATTTGCATTTTGCAGTAGACTTTAGTTTGAGTATCATGCTTTTCACATGCTTACCATTTATGTTTTTTTATCAGTCCGCTATAAATATGGCAAAGTTTATGAAAAAATCAAAGCACAGAAGGCGCTGAATTTGTTTTGGTCTCAGAATGTAAGAAAGGTACAGGTTGTGAGAGTATATGTAAAGTGGCACCAATGCTTTCCAGCGTTTTAATTGTAGTAAATTGGCTATAAGACTAATTGCAAAACTGATATTCAATCCAATGTTTATTTGACTTAAACATTTTGAAAAAAATGAGTTGCCTTTACTGGGATTTTAACTCCAGACCTCTCGCTTCCTAAGCGAGCGCGAAAACCCCGCAGCCACGGTGAATTTATATGTGAACGGCCTGAAGAAAACCATATTATTCTAAATTAGGGCTTGTAACGACTTTAACTGTTGTTTAACACAGATGTAAATAATCCTGGAGCTTACTATAGGCATGTATATTTATAAAGAATCAAAGGGCTGCAAGCTCTGTGGTATTTTCTGATTTTTGCAATCTAAATCGTACTGTATATCTGTATGTATTTTCCTGTATAAGTTTATTTTTATGTACTATAATTCATCTTGCAAGGCACCAGAGTTTGATACAAACGGAATTTTGTATAACTAGAGTAGCATCAAAAAATCATTTATGTTCATTTTTTATGACAGCCACACTTAAACCTTGCATATCATGGCTACTTCCTTAACAAAGACACTTAAAATATGAATTTAAAAAAAGTTTCCTCGACAGGAATTTGAACTGCAGTCCTCTCACTCACTAAGCGAGCGCGTTACCCCTGCACCACGGAGAAGTTACACATATGTCTGAATAACATCAAGTCATTCTGACAATCAGAAGCGAGGCTTAGTATAAGCTACAAAGCTTTATCCTCTATTCTGTATGCTTTACTAACACAATGATTGTTTTTATTATATTTTTATTTGTTATGACTAGATTGTGTAAAATTGTATAACATATGTGTAAATCTATTTGAAAAATAAATATTGTTTAAACCAACATCAAGTCATCCTAATTTTAGAACTTCCATTGCATTTCGGGTTTGTAGTCCTTATTAATTTCGAGGTATTTTGTTCATGTTTAAAATTGAAGTAAATAATTTAGCGAAAATCTTCTCGCCCAAACAGTCCGACATGTAGAATCTATATATTCCACTACTCAGTTTGTGTAGTATTCGGTAATCGACATCGCTAAAAATAGTATTTTCTTGATAAAATCATATTCATCCGCGTAATTTGTGATTGTGCATTTTATTGACAATTCTATAAGCCAACGCTATTTTTAAACTTTGCATGCGTTGTAATTTGTTGGATACTTGTAACAAAATAAAAATATTTCTTTCTTTTAAATCGCTAGTTTTAAGCTGTTTTGAGAACTACTTGTTGTTAGGTTTGTCGTGAAACTTCTGTGTCAGAAATTGAATGTCCGCTTTGTATTTACTTATTTTTTTCTTATATATTCAACATTTGTTCTTAATTCAAACATTTTAAAGATAAATATTGATAATTTTCTTATAACATTTTCATTTTGAGATGTTAACAATGCAATAAATTTTGGTTTATTTGTTGTTTTTTTTCAATATTATTTATATATGAGCTGTCTTGTTCTCAAAACATTGTATTGTGGACATTCTAATAATACATGGAATTAATCTTCTTGTTTTAAGCAAATATTACATTTTCTTTCATTAAAAGGAATTGCTTCAGGTTTATGCCATCTACCAGTTTCTACTTTTAATCTAAGCGAAGAAGTCCTGAAACTTGATAAAGATATCTTAAAATTTTCAATATTAACCATTGACAGATATGATTTAAAACCAAAATCACAAAATAATACATAATTGTTTGCTCTTGATGAATCTCTTAAAGTTGCATACCAATTTTGTATAAATGTATCTGCTAATCTTTGTTTTACTACAGCTAAAACTAAATTTATTTCACCAACGCCCTGATTAATCTATACTTCATTGAAACCTAAAGATTGTAACAAAATCATAACAGACTTAGCCCAGGACATTGAATTTGGTTTAAGTTCTAAATATCTACACATAAGATCATATACAACTTTGACATATGTTGTACTACTTGACTGAACAACTTTTAACCAGTATTTTACAACATTAATAGCTCTCATTGTTTTTAAAGATGTCCTTCCAAGTTCACCATAGATAAAATTGTTTTGTGTTTGTCTTTTAACTCCTCAGAACTTCTTACAATACTTTAAATGTATATTTTCTAATACATGACTATCAAGTAAACCCCATATTTGTGATCCATAGTTAAGAATTGGTAAAATAAGTTTATCAAATAATTCCAATTTATGCTTAACTGACATACAAGGGAATCTTATCAGCTCTTTTTCGGGTTTATACAACGCCTTCAATGCTTGTCCAGAGAGTGTTTCAAAAGTCATATTCAAAGATCCGCCAACAGAAAAAAAACAATGCTTAGATATGTAAACTTTTTAACTAATTCAATTGACTGACCTTTATAATAAAAATTCAAATTCTGTCTAAGTCTACCCCCTTTTTTAAAAGTCAAAACCTTTCTCTTTGTACAGTTAACACTTAATTTCAACCTATCACAATATATTTCTAATAATCTTAATCCTTTTTGTAAGCCCACCTCTGCTTCAGACATAATCACTATATCATCTGCATACAATAATAAAAAATATCTTTAAAATACCTAAGTCAATACCTTCAAAACCATTTAACATAAAATATTCTTCTATATCATTTAAATACATAGAAAATTAAAACGGCGAAAGGGATTCGCCTTGTTTTACACCCAAGTAACATACAAACTCTTCACTAATAGAATTATTTTATTACAGAAATTTGTCAAAGATTGATCTATTTCATGGCTACTTACAGCATCATCAACATTTTGACATATAATTACAAATTCATTCATAACGCTATTACTACATAAACTACAAATATACAATTCCTTTTTACTGTTTCCCCATTTATAACTGTAAGGTATAGTTGAATTATCAGTTTCAGTTTTATCTTCAATTTCGAATATTTTACAAGATTTTAGATTAAAATGCACACAGCAATGATCAGACAAAATATCTGGGTCACTCTCTTCAAAGTGTGAAATAAATTGTATCAAATCTGATCTACATAAAACATAATCGATTACACTGCTGCCTTGTGTATTAATGCATGTATATTTACCTACATTATTATCTTCACAACATCTGCCATTTAATATTCTAACACCAGAAGCTTTATAAAACTCTAACAATAA